GAGACCCGCTGTGAGCGCGCCCTCCTCTCCGGGGCCCCTCCCTGTCTAGGCACCAGCCCAGGCACCTCTAAGTCCTAGGAAGCAACTAACACTTGTTACGCGCCCCCCTGTGCCGGGCCCTGGGCTGCTGTGAGATTACCCAGGACTCTCTGCGGCTCCAAGAAGTTAACCCCTTCGAAAGCCACGCGGGGAGTAAGGCAGGGAGGGTCCAGCGGAGGAGCCTGGCGGCCGCAGGGAACCACCTGCCTGCAGGCGCAGCGCTGCTTCCCCGGGGCTGTGATGCCGCCGGCCAGGCCACTGGGGGACCCCCCGTTTTTACATCTGTGAGCGGGGCCATGGCTACCTCTGACTTATCTGCGTCGGGTGTCCCGAACGCTGGCGCTGCCTAGGCCGGGGCGGTACCCACCCTGCTGAAGGCCAGCAGGAGGTCCAGCCGGGATGTGCTGGGCACCGAGTGGCGCAGCTTCCAGTAGACCAGGTGCTCCCACGCGAAGACCAGCAAGGCCAGCCCCATGGCCACGAGCAGCATGTAGAAGACGCCCGCCATGTTGTCGATGTCCAGCTTGCTGCTCATCACCTCGTTCTTCTCGTTCTGGCAGATCCCCGAGAGCCACACGGTCTCCAGCTTCTGGGTCTCCCCTGGGCGGGGGGCACACCTAGCTCAGGAAGGACCCTCCCAATGCTCACCCACATCTTGAGCAAGAAGGGTCTGGAGCCAGGGTGCCAGCCCTTGTAGGGCCACATGGATAGGGCCAGGCAGGGACAGGATTCGGGGTCGGGGCATCAACAAGCAGGAAGAAAGGACAGCACAGTGGGGCTCAGTGGGCAGTGCCAGCCTTTGACATCCCCGCCCCCCTCATGCCTAATAAAACCTTGCTGGCTGGGTACATGTTATCAATCATTTATTCATTGAACACTTAGTGGCCCCTACATGCCAGGCATGGAGCTGGGCACACAGACACAAGGCTGGGGCCCCCGAGGAAACTACAAACACCCCCGTGGTCCTTCCTCTCGCCGCTCTCTGGTCCTGATGGAGAATCAGACCATTATTACCGAATAGGGTTGGACTCTGAACTCAAAGCTCTCTCTGGGTTTGGGGGCAGGTTCATCTGGACTCCTCACACATGGGAGCCCTGGTGCCAAGGCCAGCTGGGCCTCGACTCTGGGACTAGGCAGGCCCTTGGCACTACCCAGGTCATCTCATGATGGAAAAAGAAAGTTCAGCCACCCCCAACCCCACTGTGGCCTGAGCTCCTTCCTGTCTTCCTGCCCTCGAGGGACTCCCCAACCCTATTCCCCACTCCCTCCCTGCAAAGCCATCTCTTCCCCAGGTCTCCATCCAGTCCCTCCAATCCCAACCC